GACCTGAAAACAAAATAGGGTACCGCAAAACAAATCAGCTCAGAATATCTGCCTGATAGAGGTTTTTCTCTCAGGCTTTCCATCTTGATAAAAATACATCCTCTCCATCACACAATTAGGCAATTTTATTTACAAAGAGCAGCTTGGAACTCCGGCAGGTTTAAAAGATACCGTAAAGCAATGATGTTGATCCAGATTGCATATACAAGTTACATAACAGTGAAAAATGATTTTCTAGGGTAATCCTAACACCTTAGCAAACATATACGCCCTGTCTCTGTAGCGCTTGTTCTACAGGTGAAGATGTTGGCATGGGATGACCTGAGCGAACACCCAGGCCCCGGAAGGTATACGGTGCAGAGCCTGGGACGCTTGTAGACTGGCTGTGCTACGACAGCTGCATCTTTTGCTCGTGTCATTTCTTCCCATTAATTGGAGGTGATGATTTTTTTTTTTTGTTTCTGTACAGAAAGAATGGTAAACCGAGCCGTGCTGTGCGGTGCCTCCCTGCCTGCGTTGCCGCGGTGCCTTGCCCGCGGCAGGTCGGTGCGGGGGCCCGCGAGGACCATGCCGATTCCATCAATCTTGCGCTGTGCTAGCGCTTCACAGGCTTTTTGTAAACTGAGTAATTAACTTTTGTCAAGCTCCATAAAAACATTAACAGGGTCCTGCTGGCCTCTGCGTTTAAAGCGGCATTATTACTTTTTAAATACAAGGCAGCCAGTTCCGTCAGTGGAAAAAGATCTTGTCCCCACAGTTTCAGATGCAAAGTTACTGCGAGCGCTGCAGCAGGAGCCATGTGTAGGGTGTTTAGTGTATGGTTTATGGATTTAATTTCTTTTTGGAAATAAAAGATAACTTCCAAAGAAATGACATGAGTACAGAGCTCGTGTAATCTCCTTTTCCAGTGATTTTTCTGTGATTGATGTGCCATTAATACTTTAATTGGTAACAGGTGCAGCTGATTGTTGGTTCCTAAGCTGAAAAATCTGAAATTGAACATAAGGCTCTGATAAATTAATAAACTCCTCTTCTCCAAACAGTTGTTGCTGTGAAGGAACTAACTTTCCATGAAGCGCTGCTCCATCAAGCACACTGAATACTTTATGTTAAAAAGCAAAATGTTACTTAATGATAAATTAAAATTACACTAACGGGCAAAGACAGAACATAATAATGACACCCCCTTAAGGAAAGGAAGTCGCTGGAAAGCACAGAGGACGGTATCTTGTGTTGTTTCTGTCTGTGCGTCAGGGTGGCTGTTTGGATTCCATATCGCGCTATTAAAAGCATCGCCATCCATGAAATAAAAACACTTTAGACATACGCGGACAGAGCGGGAGGAGAGGAGGGCGGGTGACGGATATTACATGTAAAGTTTTTCCTCTTTTGCATGTAAAGTTTTTCCTCTGTTGCTGCTGCCATCCCAAGATGTAAACCAGGCGTCAGTGGTATCTGTAAAAAGCAATGCAAGTGCAGCGGGTAAAATTTATCCCAGGCAGACAAGCAGATGGCTTGTACACCTACAAGTCGCACTGAGGCCCTGTTTTGGAGACTTTGAAGCGCTGCGTACTCTTCATCAGCCCTTACGCCTGCACACCCGTTGCGCCCTCGCCCCTTCCAGCCCCGCAGCCTCCAGCCGCTGCTTTTTGTTGCAGGGGTTTGGTTGGTGGGGCAGGGCGCTCCCAGGCTCCCCTCCTGCATGGTGTGTCGGGGAGGCGGAGGGATATTATTTTAGATGAAGCAGCGTACAGTACTCCTTTGTTAGCTGGATGCCAAAATCCCGGACGCGCAGCTGTTCCTGGCAGGCCAGTGACTCAGTCTTGCCGCAGCTGAGAGAATGAAGTAAGTTTTTCATTTGATGAAAAACTCTTTTCTCTGTGCTAAGAGACTGATCATCAGTGCTGAGATACTGACTCTTTGCTCAGGACCTAGATCGCTAACTAGTGTTACTTTATCTGGTTCCATATGTTCTAGAAATTAATGAAGATCTGTGGTAAAAATGGGCCAGCTTAATACCTCTTAATACCTCTGAGGTCCAGGCCGTGATGGACTCCAGTGAAATCACTGGTGATTTGGCAAATGATTTCGACTGAGAGCAAAACCGAATGGTTTTTTGGTATCTCATGCCATATTGTGTGGTCTCTGTTTTTTATTGTGGGTTTTGCAGACCACTGTAAAAATTGAACAAAAGTGTGCGTTTACAATTTATTGCACATAAAAGAAGAGAAAAGAAGGAGAGAAGTGATCACCACTAATAAAAAACCTGAGCATAAATACAGGGTGGCACCTTTTTAAAGGGTTTTCACAGACCACGTTGAAAATGTTATGCTCGCTAGCAGAGCGGAGTAATGGAGGTACACTCTACAGATGGAGCTTCTAATCAGATTAGCAATAAGACAGTTTTAAAAGTGCTTTGGAATAAAAGGCATTATATAAATGCAAGCCATTATCACTATGGGGTATATTTTTTTCCTGATGTGTGTGCATAATTCCCTCTAGAGTTAATGGGAGATGCATGCATGCATTGAAGAGAGAGTATACCTGGCAGGGTTGTTCTTTTCTACTCAAATGACTGGGGACAAAATTTGTTAGAGAGCAGAAAAAGGTAGATTAGCTGAGTGAGGTATTCACTGAATACCAGTCAAACTGGTCTGCTGAAAACTTTGCCACTGCATTTCAAAGCTGTCCGTTGTATCACAAAGAGATAATAGGATGCTAGTAGCTATAAAGTGATTCAACCAGTAGAGGAAGTGATGTGAAACTGGGTGTGTGCCATGCCCATTTGTAACTCAGGGCTTTATCAGCTATTGATTGATTTGCTGAATTTTTATAATGCCACCGATTAAATGCCTCAGGACATTTATTTTATAATAAACATTCTCTCTGCAGGTAAAGTAAACATTATCCAAACCAACAATGTGGTATCCTGCCTGATTCCTCAATCTTCCTTCCAATATTTACACAGAACTCAGGGAAGAGAGATAATAATTGTCATCTTCCAGGTCTTTGATGTATTTTGGAGTCCGCTCGCTTTGCTTAAATGATCTCAACTTGTTCCCCAGCTAGTCAGTAACAGAGATGATCTGAGCTATCCTGCAAAGTAAAAAAAAAAAAAAAAAAGGCCAGCTTTTAACAGAAAATACTCTTTGGGGGAAATTTATGACATCTACTCAGATGCCAGATATTCACTTCATTTAATTTTTTTTTATGTGACTGGAAGCAACTACATGCTCAGTCCCCTCCCATTGTCATTATTTTAATCCAAATCTGTCCTCATATATTTGATTTGGAGCCGGGCTATAGCTCAGACAGCTAAGTTACCAGCTCTGTCTGTAACTTCTCACCACAGCAGCCATCTCCTTGTCATGAACCTCATTAGAATTGCAGTCTCCAGCTGAAGTCTGTGACACAAAATCCTTTTCTGAGTCAGCACCTATGGCCGTTACAAGGCCTACAACAGCTGCAATAATACCTCAGTGAGCCATTTTAACCTTTTAGAATAGCTACACAACTGCCATTTACTTATATGCCACACTAAATTCTAAAGAGAACATACTCTTTCTATAAACCCTATTAGTAAAATGACCAAATTATACTGAAACCAAAAAGTATGTTGCCAAGAGTGCTGGGCACATTTAATATAAGGAGGTGGAGGGCTGTGAAAACGGAAGAGTTGTAAGGTAATAATGCAGAGTACAATGGCAGTTGAAGTAACACACGTTTATTTTTATTCATTAAGTGTTTTTCTGGCTAACTCGTTAGAGACCCCATTTCATCTACTATCCATTTTGGTCAATGTAGAATTAAAAAAAAAAAGCAATTTGTACTGGTCCACCAACATATGTTTACCATATAATATTTTTCCAACCACTCACAGCAAGGTAAATGCAGGAAACTGTTCCACTGGAGTCAGTGAAGTCACACTAGGCTAAATATGGTATTTTTAAAAAATCTGAATCAGGTCCATTGTTTACAGAATAACTTATTAGTATCTGTAAGTTAAGGTTTTGTCAGGTGTTTCATTATAAATCCTCATTTTGGAAAGTTGAAAACTCCAGGGTAGCGTTGTTTTAAATTACAAGAGCATAGATTTTGCATAGCTATAATACTTTTTTTTTTTTAATCCTAGTCCTCAAAAATATCTTTACTCTTTCAAATGAAGGTTGTTGGCATGCCAGCAACCCGTAATGAAAAACAATTGCTTTCCCTTTTTGGGGGGGTGGGGATAAATATATATTTTAATATAGAACAGTTATTTCATTTTTAAAACTGTTTACATATGCTTGGCAAACCAAACAGCCAGCGTATTCGCAAAAGCTTTCTTAGCAGGGAGCATGCCCTGTACCTGAACGTAGTCTACAACCCAACCAATAGCATGAATAATCAGAAAGCAAGCTGGTTCCCTCGTCTCTAAATTTTAGCCCATGAAAAACCAATCTGCTCTTTTCATAAGCCACGGAAAAGCATTTCTGACTCCGCAGAAGTCGCCTTGGCTCAGGCGTGGGGAGGCTCCATTTGGAGTCACCCACCAGAGCTCCCTCCCGCTGGCCGCCGTGGCTCCGCTGCCCAGCTTGGCTCCACAGACCTGCAAGATGCACGTGCGGCCCCGACAAGTCTGCGTGCTGCATGGTAGACTGCTCTCTCGGGGAAGATAATGTGCGGCTACCAGCTGTCAGACCCCAGATTGCTCCCAGCCAAATTTGGGTTGGAGATTAAAATGTAGGTGCCAGATTATTACGCCTAAACTTTTAGGACTCCCCTTCCACAGCCATTGGACTTCAGTGTTACCTGTAGCTTTGTGGCAGTTTTATCTGGCTCTGCTGTTCTCAGACGTTTAACAATCCTTGAACGTTTATGTGGTGAGAGCTTTACTCAAATACCCAAGATAGTAAGAGGCTCATGATGAATTTTTGTCTGATCTCCTGAAATTCAAATCCTGGTTGAAAAATATCATAAGCAGATGTGAGTAGCTGCAATACTTTTTCCTGTTTCTGTAGGTGATAGCGTAGGATTGCACACAGATAGCATCCTTCCAAGCCTCAGGATCGGGACACCCACCCTGTCTCCGTGACTGTGTGCCCTTCGATGTGGCAAACGCATCCCGAGATGGCTGACAGGTAAGCCTTCGAGAGAAACTGCCCAGTGTGTGACTCTTCCAGTTTCCTAAATCCCCACCAAATTGTTTCTCATCACTGTCAATCCTATCTTTATGTTGGTTAAGAAACTGTTTTCCTAGAAAGTTGTACAAAAAAGCCATGAGGCCTGTATAACGTACTGCAATAACCACTAGCTCAGTTTGTTTTGTAATGTGATTGCATGCTTAAATTAGTTTAAACATGAAAAGTTCAAATCAGTTGTCAACTTCAGGGAACTGACAAATGCATATACGTTTTCTGAGTAACCATTTGTTACACAGCAATGGTTTAACTTTTGAAATAAAACTTTCAGACCCAAACTGAGCCCTGTTAGCAATACAGATTTTGTCTAACATACATAATGAAACCAGCAAATTAGGTCCCATGGCCATAAACCTCACAGAGGGAAAGCAAACAGAGCATGAATCAAAAGCTGTAGAAGGCAGTAAACTATTGGTAACATATAAATTAAGGCAAAAAAAATCAAAGTATCAAATAAGTTTGGCTGTTAAAATCTGTGTGCATTTAGAAGTAACAAGCTGAATTCAAAACAAAATATTGTGCAAGACCCCTAATTTAAAATAAAAGTCCGGGTTTATAGAAGTTGTGACAGAAACACAGCCGTCAAAAGGTAGGTCAAATCTTGTTTTAACTCTTTGCCACTTTACCCTTCACTCACGCCATTCATCAGGGCAGCACAGCACATAAAGCATTGACACCTCCCATGCTGTGTTTGGCCCTCTGCAATACTGAAGCATAATGTCAGCCTTCACTTTTTAAGTCTCGACCTTGGCTGGTTTATAAATGAGCCAATACTTTACTCAACTACAGGTTTCCATTTTACTTTTTGTTAAAAAAAAAAAATCTTTTAAAAAAATGTATGCTTTAAAATCCCCTAAATACCAATTATTGACGTGATTGTAGAAGCATAAGCTTTAAACACACACATTGACCTAGTTAAGTTAAAACCTATTCAGGGAATTTTAAAATATATTTTATTGCATCACAGTCTATAAGAACCTCGTCATACCCATATATGTTTAGTTTGTTAAATACATATTTATGCATTTCTAAGCAGCCATTGCATGACTCTATTGCAATAAATGTGGTTATACCAGTGATAAATTTGGCTTGTGGATTTTTTGATCTGCTAGATCACTAGAGCTGAATATTCTCTATACTTAATATCCTTTTATTCCATGGATTTAAGTCGCCGCGAAGCTTAATGCAGTAAAGAATAACAAAGGATAAAATAAAACAAAAAATTGAAAAGGTACAGATATCACTGAGTTGGTATTTTATCCCTGAGATACTGAGTGCTTCCAAAGTTGACTACCAGAAGTATCCAAGTCCACGTAATAGATTGAGGTCCTGAGAATGCTTTTTATTTATAGGTGTACAAAACAAATTGCACAGCCAGAACGTTACATTTTGGGTGGGGAAGAAAGAGGAAACAGTGCCTTTTTACCTTAAAAACAACCAAAAGGATTTTGTTTTTGACAATTTGTAAAAAATATTTGCTCTTAGGCTGAAACCTGACATGCCAAGTTTTAGCTTGGAACTCATTTTTATGACTGCATTATAAAGCCCCTGAAAACAGGAGTTTCAAGACAGAATGCTGACACAGCCTTAACTACAGTGGTGAGAAAGGAGTCCTGTAATGCATATAACTTGTTTTTCTCATTATTGCTTTAAAAGAAGCAGCTTGTTGCCTACCCTTAGGCAACAGACAACGTTTAAAGCATGCGTGTCATCATACTGTCTTACTAGCAGGTGTGTGGAACTTACTACCTCATGCAGACCCGCTTCTGCAATGTAACTGGTAGATCACTAAGGCAGAGGACACTGAATTATTTCCTAGTTTTGAATAGGATTTTTTAGTCTGAGATATACAGACTTGCGCTGTTTGGAGGAAGAAGAAAGACATATCGCTTATGCCTTAGCCATTCTTTAAATCATGTTTTAGGCTGAGGTCTGCCAGTAAAACTGGAAAAAAAGTAATGATGAGCTGCTTGCGCAGATTTAAACTACGATGTAAATTACTAGGAGAAGATGATGTGTAAGAATCTATATTGTTTTTGGCTGTATTTATATCCTGACTTTTTAAGGTGGCTTATTAACTGGTTTACAGTGAAAATAGCTTACAACATCTGTGTTGCTGCAAGGGTGAGACATTCCACATTCTTTCATTAAGAAAAATATCTGATAAGGAGTATTTTTTCAGGGAGCTAAACTGAATAAAGTACAAGCTGCTCAAACATGAAAACACCTGATAAACTTTTTCAGAACTTTGCCAAAAGTTAATCAGTGAAGCAAACCAAAATCAATGAACATAGAAACCATAGGACGGCTACTTTCTTGC